CAGCTGATGCTCATGATGCTCCCCTCCTGCCTCGTCAAATGCATGCAATCACTCGGGCAGTTGGTTTTGCAACGCCTGGCGTCTAGGACGGCCCTGTGGCCGGAAATGTACCCAGCTGATGCTCATGATGCTCCCCTCCTGCCTCGTCAATTTCATGCAGTCACTTGGGCAGTTGGTTTTGCAACGCCTGGCGTCTAGGACGGCCCTGTGGCCGGAAATGTACCCCGCTAATGCTCATGATGCTCCCCTCCTGCCTCGTCAAATGCATGCAATCACTCGGGCATTTTTTTTTGCAACGCCTGGCGTCTAGGACGGCCCTGTGGCCGGAAATGTACCCAGCTGATGCTCATGATGCTCCCCTCCTGCCTCGTCAAATGCATGCAATCACCTCGGGCAGTTGGTTTTGCAACGCCTGGCGTCTAGGACGGCCCTGTGGCCGGAAATGTACCCAGCTGATGCTCATGATGCTCCCCTCCTGCCTCGTCAAATGCATGCAATCACTCGGGCTGTTGGTTTTGCAACGCCTGGCGTCTAGGACAGGCCTGTGGCCGGAAATGTACCCAGCTGATGCTCATGATGCTCCCCTCCTCTGCGCGCTTTGAGGCCCCCCTTCTCAGGCCAAGCGGTCTGGCTCTCTCTTCGTCTCTTTCTCTCTCTGTCACCTGGACGCCTTGCGCATCCTCATGGTTCCAATGCCGGTTGGCTGAGAGATCTCTACATCTCCCCGGCGTACGAAGACCAGGCAGAGGAGAACTATAGTAGGTGTATAGGAGGTCTTCGTAGGTCTTCGTAGATATGTGCAAACGGAGCTCTCAGACACCTGTCGTGGTGCGAGCGAGCAGCATACGTCCATCCACAGGGTGTCGGTGCCTTATTGGGATGCTTCCGGGAAGGCCCGGCATGCGCGAGCAGCTCACATCTTCAACTTGCAAGCTCATGAAGCCAGTGCTGAAACGCATTCCTCGCCAGGTTGCCGCCGGGCACAGAGGACGGGTCTTGCCAGCGGCCATCCCAAAGGAAGGTCAGGGGTGCGACCACCATCGTCATGCTGACGACTAGGAGCATCCTGTTCGCACGGGCTTCTGATGTGTTCTCCGCATGCCGTAATCGGACTTTCAAATCTCTCAGGAATGTGGAATCACGCGGAATCATGGTTGCTTTGCAGGTCAAGGAGCAGGATGTCGATGATGCAGGCAAGGTCTGAGTCAAAGACTTCGATCCACGCTTTTCCTTGGCTAGTCAGTCTTAGTCTTAGACTCTTCCAGATTCTTAGACGCTGAAGGTTTGAGACAAGAAAATGCAAGAGACGAACCGCGTGCTCACGGCTCAATATTCGGGCAGGCTGGCCGTTAGCATGGTTTGTGGCTCCCTACAATGCAACAAGCATAAGAGCCCAGAACATGATCGGCCATGCGACTTTCGCTCTTCTTGTCGACGGATGCCAGGCTGTCATCCGTGGCCGATGGTGGCTTTTCAGAGATCTTTGAGAGCTCCTCTTCCTGCATGGCTTCCTGGTCGTTCTGCACAAGCTCCTTCATGTCCAGGAGAACCTGAGCGCTGCGCACGCGCCACTCGCGCAATCAGCCTGGACCCAAGACCCAAAAGGATCTGCCCAAGTCTTGGCACAGTGGGAACTGACATGAAGGCACCATGAAGGCACCAAGGCGCATCCTTGCCTCCCTTGGTTTTGTCATAGAGGGTCTGAGCCAGATCCCCAGCAGTCTTGAACTCGAAGCGCGGCCTCCAAAACGTGAGCGTCCGATACCTGGGCCCGAGACATCTGACCGTCAAGAGATGTGGTGTGATGGCATGTTGCGGCATTTTGTGGGCATGCTGCACTGTTGCATTTTGCAGACTGTAACGGAGTGAAAGGAAGAGGTTGCACGAAGGCCACGAGGCTAACACTGAACAACATCCGAGCCACACCTTGTCGCGGAGGATGAGGACCTGGCCCGTTGACAACACCCAAAACGCTGCCCCATCCCGAAGCATGACCGCAAACACCCAAAGCCCTCGCCCAAGCAAGGCTGGTGCGCCAGGAGCGAACGCCATTTGTCGTCCTTGCCCTTCCTTGGTTCGTCAGCTGTGGTCAGCTCTGCACAAGGCTGAAGAGGAACAGCTCGTCTTTCTCACTACTTCTGAGCTCGCAAACCGTTACAAACCTCTTGTCGACACCCTTACTGACAACATCGACGATCCCAACCACTCTTGGTGCGTTCCGGTTCCAAAGGTACACAGTGCAGCAGAGGAGCTTGTCAAAGGTGGCATCCGTACGGATGGGGTGGCTCGTCTGTCGGCTCGGGCTGCGATCGCCTCAGAAGCTTTAGTTTAGGAGTAGTCACGGTAAATATGGCGCATATGCCCTTGGATCCCTCGAACCTCTGTTTGGCCCGAATGTGGGACCCGATTTTCAGTAGAGGCTAATCCAGGAAGCCAAGCCCCAAACACCGCACCGAAGCCTCGAAGCCCTCCCTCCCACAAGTCAGGCGCAGGGGCAGTTGACCGTGGAGCTGCTCATTGCCCCGGAAGGACTCCAGTTCTTGGAGCCGCCCCATCCGAGCTAAGGGTTCTAGGGATTCGAGGGCGATAAGCAGAGGATTTTGAGGCGTTCGGTTGGGAGATGAAATGACGTGAAACGATGACGAGGGGGATTATGCTTGGTTTTGGGGGGGGACTTGAGACGCTGATACATCTGCAGAGAAGAGGCATCACGAGGCTGGTGATGAGTGCTTTTTTGGATCCGGCAACAAAAACTGAGGGAAGACCGGCGTTCGCCACTTTGTCCAAACGGCACTAGGCGCAAGTCTCTGAAATCCAGATCAGCAGTGATAAACAATTCGCAACGTGGAAGATTGGAGGGCCTCGATTACACTCTCAAGGGCCTCACAGCCAGCACCTCTCACTAAAGAGCTGGGCTCAAAATCTCTGACTCTATCGACTACGGGTGCTTACGTGCTTGGGCTCTTCGAGCCCATCGGGCTCGGGGGCCCCAAGGTCTGCCACTCAAACTGCGTGGCCGGGGCCTCGAAAAACTCGAAGTTTTTGAGAGCTTCTGGGCTTCGGGTGGCTTGCTTTGATGCAATGGACGCTGCAGTCGGAAAGCAGGCAACCCACAGGGCCCCCGCGTTGAGGGTGGCACGACGCCCCAGTCTCCTGCACGACGACAAAAAACACCAAAAAACGGCCCAACAAGTGCTTGTCGAAGCCGATGTCTCGAACACATGTACATAGTGTAACTTGATGTAACACATGTGTAGCAATATCACAAGTAGAAGCATGGCTCGCACAGCTTTGCAGGGGCTCCTGCCATCGAACTTTGGCGGGAAGGGCTGCCCTTGGAGGGCCTTGCGCTGGTGCCGGCGCTTGCGCGGCTTGCCACCGACTTCCTGCTCAGTGTAGCAGTGGCAACTTTGGCACTTGGCGTTGTTGCACTCGCCCCGACCTCAGCAGAAAGAACGCTCGAGGCCCTCCAGCACTAAAAACAAGGCAAGGGATGTTGCGACCAACAGTTCAACATAGGTCGCACGTTCTTACTTGAAGCCCAGAGGCGTGCAAATTCGCAGCCGACAAAGTAGTGGGAGCGTCGGTGTCCAGTGCAGAGAGACATCCAGAAGTAGTGGCACCGTTGGTGTCCAGCGCCGAGAGACATCCGCACATCAACCTTCTGCTCCTCGGAGTGCAGATAGAAGAAGAAAATCAATCCGGTCTTCGGCGGGGGGGGGGAAGGGCGACAGCGACCAGATCGGTCTACAAGCGGTGCACCCCAAATCGGCGCACACGTATTCGCAACAGACACTGTTCAGAAGCAACTAACGAGGCTTCTGTGTGATTCTGTGTCGCATTGCAGAGCCTTGCCGAGAACCAAGGGCTTGCTTTGAACGAGGCTCGAACCTAGCTCTGCCGCAGGAACTGAAACCTCCTCAGGGCCTCACATGCAGTCGGCGGGACTTCCCATGAACCATGTGGAGTCCATAGTCTAAGGAGACCAGCAACTATTTGAGGCTGTCAAGGAGTCAAGGCGACCATTGAAAGCCTCTGAACACGAAGGAGGACCTGGAACGAACTCTTAAATTGGGGCGAACAAAAAAGAGTCTCCGCTACTAGGTGCTTATAAGGCTGCTACGACGTCTGAACTCGGCTGAACTCCACTTGCCCCTCTGTCAGTCAACTCGCACTTGAACAGTCCTTGCAGAAACGGCAGGTGCGCATCCTGATGCCCAAGGCGGCCTTTCTGCAGACTCGGCAGAGAATCTTGGGAGGAGCATTGGGAAGGATTGGCGGAGCCGAAGCCGCCCTCAGATCTGGCTGCCCTGGCTCTGCAGCTTGCTCGGGCTCCGCTCGAGCCAGAGTGTGGATGTTCATGGCTTCCCAAGATCTTGGCACAGTCGGCATCGGGTTTCGGTGACTTTGGTACCTTCTGGCCCCACTCCGCTGAAACTGCTCCATGCCATCCGGACTGCCATCCGGCAAGTGCTCCACGCCATCCGGACTGCCATCCGGCAAGTGGCCCGAGGGGCCTGCAGCTGCGCAGCTGCGCGCAAGAAGGAGAAACTGCAACGTGCGTGTCATGATGCGTGGGAAAGCACAATGGCAAGCACGCAGATGCAAGGCCGTGGCCGTCGATCGGCTCTTCTTCCTGAGCGAATAGAGATGACAAACAAGCTGAGGCTGAGCCCGTATCCAAAGCAGCCAAAGAGCCGGCTTGCGCGGAAGTGGCTCCAACTGAAGGCTTTGCATGGGGGCCATCGCAGCCATCGCAGCCATCGCAGCAAGTCCAACGTATTGGAGCCCACCCCGGAACCGGCAAGACTCGACTCCAATCCTTTCACCCGTAGCTGCTACGCTTGGAGCCACATAAGATGGAAAGCACATGATTTTCGCACAAACCCAACATCCCCATGCCCGCAGCTGCTTGAGACAGCCGCTGCAGACGGACGTGTCACTTGCATCGTCCAACTAGCCCTTTCCGATGGCTTTCATCCTGTAAAGCAAGCTAGTCGGAACCTTTTCTGCCTCGCAAGACACGAGCCGTCTCTTGAGAGGAGGGCTGAGCCGTCACTTTAAGCCGTGGTCGCATGGGATCCTGTAGGGTGGTCTTGCCACACGGCCTCTGCTTCTTTCCTTGGTGCGAGACACGGTGAGTTGATGGCGGTTTGGGGGATGGTTTCGGGGTCTTTCGTTTTTTTTGTGTTTTCTTTTTTTTGTTGGGCGGGGGGGGGGGGCCTTTGCTTCTTTATCATTGCTGCCGCTGGCTCTCTGCTTCACCCGTCTGCTCCAGAAGCTGCTGCAGAACCTGTCATTTTGAAACTACAGTTGTTAAAGCTTTAGGTATTTCATACAAAGCAACCCTAAAGTAACCCCAGGCCTGCGTGTGATCTTGCTTCCATGGAAGATCCATCCCTCGGTGCAGGGCCGTTGACGACGTCAGACAATGGGCCGAGTCCATGTGACTTGCATTCACTGCATTAGGTGTCAAAAAATCTGGCGGCGGAGGGCTGTCCGCATCCTGCACCTTTTTTATGAGGTTCATGATGTCAGTGACCTCTGTGGCATATTCCTTGCCGCCCTCCTTCCTTGGTTGCACACAGGAGGCCTCCCACAAAGCCACAGGACGCCACCGTGTTGCGCTGGGTCTCTCTTCCTTCAGCAGCTCCTGCGTCTTGACGGACAACTCTTTCCTGCACAGATAGCACAGAACACGATCAGATGCATTCCCCAAGATGTGCCCCGAAAGTATCGCTTAAGGCTTAAGTTGTCTTGAGAAAACCGGGCCTTGCTTCCAAACATCGCCTCAAAGCTTCGAGCAGGTGCTGTGGCTGGTGGACGTCCACCTCCTCTTAGGTTCGTGGAGCTTTCCAGAAACAATCAGGACCGGGGGCCTAGATGGAGATCGGAGCTATGGTGGAGCGCTTCAGCTTCCTGTGTGCCTCGGGGAACATTCTGTGGTCCTTGTTGCATTCGCGTCTTCGTCACTTCCCAGGAGCGGTTTGCCGCCGAGCTGGTTGCATGAAAAGTTCGAGCCTCGAACTAGGCGGCACCTTTGACCACCCGCCCCACCCCTCGCCAGCCCCCCCGAGCCCCCACCACCAAGCCACCCCCACCCTCCTTCCCCACCCACCCAGCACCTCACCTCTACCGATATGTGCCCGGCCGGTGTGTTTTCTTGTTTGACCACTCCCACATTTGGGGATACAACAGGATCCCCAAAAAAGGAATGAAGCCTAACAGCACCTTCACACGATCTCCAGTTTCGGTTTGGGTTGCCGGCCCAGGCCGAGGCGCGTCGGATGGCGTTGAAAACTAACCAGGTTATTCACACCAGTTCGTGGTGCCGCACGGCTGCTTCCCTCAAAACCATTAAGAAGGCTTCGCGTTTTGAGAGCTGAAAGATCTGCCCTGGCAACTGTGCCAGAGCCCAGGCTTTCGCAGTGCTGTAGGCTACGACAGTGCTGCTGGGGGATTGTACGTCACCTTCGCAGCTGGGGTGCCCGGGAAACAAAAAGCAACCTGGCCCTGGCTATACAGCCACTCCTCACTAAACTCCCAAAAGAAGGCCTCCTGACATGCTTCGTCGCCGGTTGCCACCTCTGCTTTCTGCTGGCGAGCTCGGTGCTGCTTCTGGACTGTGTGGGCATTCAGCAAGCTTCCCACCGGAAACGGGTCGCGTCCTGTCGCCCAAAACCATCCCACAGTCGCTCAGCCACTGTACCTTCCAAACACGCTTTTTTACGTCATTCTGTGCCGCCGGGCTGGGATAAGCTGGTTGCATCAAAGCCGGCGGGGAGAGGTCTGTTTGGTCAGTACCTGGCAGGTGGAGCTTGGATCCCCCACCACTCGAATCGTCCAATTGCTGTCCCCACCTTTGTCTTCATCCCACGCGTCACGCTTCTCCTGAATCCGCTTTGCTAGCATCCACTGTTACAAGGACTGCTGAACATCCCGCCCCTTTGTCCTGGTGATTGTGGTGATGGTGGTGATGATGATGGTGGTGGTGCTTCCTCAGTCACCCAAACAGGAAGCTAGCAGTTGGCCGCAGCCAGCCCCTGCATCAGGAATCTGCAAGAATCTTGAATTGTTGATCGTGCCAAGTCTCCAGTAGTTGTCCGATCCGCTGCTGTCCAGCTGCATGTCCGAGTCGCGGACAGCCCCCACCTCAAACAGGCTTCGGGTTGTAGCAGGGCTTCGGTTGGTCAGATCTTCTTCTGGGCCATTGGCGGCGACGACAGCAAGCAGCATATGTAGCATGGCCATTGCCCTGGCAGCAGCTTCTTGCCGCGTTCAGCTGCAACGCTCACAATGTCAACTGCAAACGCTGGTCAAAGGTCCCATGAGGCCTCTCTGTACAGGGAAATGCGCGGAACTCAGGCGGATTCTGTGGCCCGGCGTCGAATTCGACGAAAGCGGACCGACTGGCGCCTAAGGAGGGGACTGACAACCAAACACAGCTGCGGACGCATGGACATGGCCGCGCAGGGTTGCATGGAGAGCCTCAGAGTTACAAAAGTGCTACAAATGACCACCTCGCTGTTTGGGCGTGCCACTTTTTGCACCTTCCCCAAGCTTGCAAAGACTTCTAGTCCATCTCATGCTCGGCGATGGAGAAGTTCCGAACGTCCTCTGCAAGCCTCGGAGGGGGAGACATATGAGAGACGGTCCCAGACAGGCATCACGGCATCCAGGGTCTGCTCACAAAGAAAAGCGGACAATGAGGGACAATGTTTAGAGTCAGCGCATCGTGCCGCGACACCCTTTCATAAACAACTGAACTATGGGAGACAACAATCCCAGACGAGCGACACGAAGATGAAACAACAGGCATTCAAATCGGAGATGGGAGACAAATGGGCAGCATCCAGGTTCTACTCACTTCACACCAATCCCAGACGAAGGTCACATCATCCAGGGTCAGCTTGCTTTACCAAGGGAGGCAAATCCCAGTCCCAAAAGCGCGTCAGCATCCAAAACGGTGACAAGTCGGAGACACATGGGAGAGATCAGTGCCAGATGTGCATCACAGCGCCCAGGGCTTGCTCACTTTTTACAAAGGGAGCCACAGGAGAGACAACCATCCCAGACAAGCGTCACAGCCTCCAAGGTCTGCTCACGTTAGAGACAAAATGGCGACAAAGGCTTAGACAAGTGCCATGAGAAATCCACATTTGCGTCGCAGAAACCCTTTCTTTCAGCAAGTAAGACTCCTCAGCTAGAGCTATTTGGGACTCCGCAGCTAGAGCGATTTGGGGAACAAACAGAAACAAAGGTGCAACAAGATGTCACAAACTTGTGTACACTCGATTAACCGGCAAAAGGCACTTGTGGAAGCACTGAGGACCAACTCAAGGTATTTGTGCAGGAAATGTATGACCGCCCACCCCCCACCCATCCCCATCCCCAAGTTGCAGACTCCCAAAAGGCCTTGAGGAGTCCAAGAAGCACAACACTAAAATGCTGCAAGGAGCTGGTCCATGTCCTCTCTGCCCACCTCCTTATGGCTGCGCTTGGCGCGATCCAATCCTCGCTCGAAGGAGTTCACCTCTTGTCAGGTTTAGGGTTTAGGGTTTTTTTTGCTCCCGCATGGCTGGCCGAACCGCAGGCAGGGTTTGAAGGTATTGTGCTAGATCGGAAAAGAACTCGGTCCGGTGGCTCTCTCTCTACGAAGCCACGACCATCAGAACACTTCATCACTACTTTGGGATGAGTAGATGATCTATGTCAGTCCTTTCTTATTTACTGAACAACAAGCAAAAACACACCTTTCAAGAAAGTCAATAGCAAAAGCTATTCGGAGGTTATAGGGGTAGGGTTTAGGGCTGCAACTCACGAGTCTCCCGAAACTCCAAACAAAAGAGTTCGCCAAGGGTTCGTTGTGGCACGTGGTCGAGCATGAAGGTCTCTTTCTTTGCTCCACCGACACCCAGAAATCGTCACCAATGATCTTTCAGCGCTTCAGAATGCGTTAAGGCCAAGAAACCATCGATCAGCCTCCCTTCTGCTGCAGCCGGCCCACTACCAGGCAGAGCATGTGCAAAGCGCACTCCGATCATGGACATGCCATGTTCCTTCGCTACTCAAGCGCTCCTTCTTTATTTTGTCCCAATCCTGAGAAGGACGTATTCTTTTGCCTGACGCCCTTGAAGCCGTTGACACTGTGGATTTTCGAAGCCGCTGATGCCGTGGATTCCGGTGACGCCGTTGACGCCGCGGATTCCGGCGATGCCGTCGACGCTGTGGGTTTGGGCGTGATGCCGTTGAGGCCATTGACGCCGTCGAAGCAGTCGCGTCGTCGCTTCTCACACGATACAAAGGAAGCTTCATGAAGCCATGGTTTGAGGTTTGCCGTTCCCCTTTCGCGTCTTCGTGTCTTTGCGCAAAAAGTCACATCCTCGGACTTTCGCTTCTTCGGGAAGTGACATCAGTGACAGCAATGCTGATTTTTGGGTGTCATCGCGTTTGCACTTGTGGGTCGATGCGGGGATGATGTTACTGATTCTCGAGGCCCTCTGCCCCAATCCTGGCTCATCCGGCTCAATTCCTCTCTCTACCGTTGCAGCCAGAGAGGGTCTAGCAGCGCCAGGCAACGTGTGAGGCGTAGCACTTGATGCCCCTCTACAAAACAGTGAGCCCCCAGCTCAAGCAGCAGTCTGCACCGACATATGCCATCACTTTCGCGGCCCACTCGCTACTCAGATAGCTTGGAATTAGATTGGAGATCTGGTTCACTTGTCTCTGAACTTTGAGATGAAACCACATGAGGGAGCGAACAAACCGTAATAATGCTGGAGGGTGAGGTGAAGAACAGGTTTTGTTCCAGCTGACAGTATTCTGGGCAGCGGCACTGAAGAACAGCGTCGCAGGATATCGTAGAGTTTAGGCAGAAGAAAGGCTTCGAGAAACTGCACATCCTTCAACTAGAACCAGGGTGAAAAAAAGGAATCAAGCCCAATCAACCAAAAGCTATGACACCTTACCTCCTTGTCTGTTCAATGGTTCTCATGCTTGAGAGCCCAGTTATAGGGGTACTTAGGGGTACTGCCTTTTCCGGCCCAGCCTGCTCCTCCACGGCTGCTCGACGTTTTGCTTCAAGGTCTCGCCGTTGCTCCAGCAGAAAAGGCACGTAGCTCTCCTCAAACTCCTGGGGAAGTTTTTCCAAAACCCAAACTGCGACTCATCACGGTGGAGCTATGAAAAATAGGGTTTTGCAGAGCTTGCACCTGCTTCTCGGCATGTCGCTATTGACATCTTCAAAGGGGCAAGGGAGGGTGCTCACACAGCAAGGCTGATCTTGAAAAAGTATGGCGTGGTGAAATGTTGGTTGATCAACCGAGAACAGGAGTGGGAGTGTCGAGTAGGGTGCCAAGGTCCACTTGCCTTTGTAGTACGTGGTGTGTCGTTTCTTGTTGGTTGTGGTTGTGGTTGTGGTTGTGGTTGTGGTTGTGGTTGTAGTTGTGGTTGTAGTTGCTTTTGTTTTTTGGTTGTGCTTGTGCTTGTTTGTGTGTGTGTGTGCGTGTTGCAAAACACGTGAAACGACCCATCCAAGATGAGCTTGGTTCAAAGCCCAGGGTGACTTGGGAACTGACCTAGGACACAGAAAGTCTCAAGAAAACGGGGGGTTCATAGAGCTCCTTGCACGCTTCGACCATGGCCTTCTCAAAGTCCTCGCAGCCAGCGCCTGTGACCGCAGAAACGCCCACGGACCTGGGGTCTTGCACACATATGACACTACTTTACGTGCTAGCCTTGGTGAGAGGGACGTGGGCCCTCAAGTTTGCACAGGGGGTGCTTTCGGACTTGGTAACTGAGGTAACTTTTTTGCTTGCCATGCGTTGCCACCTCCTTTCTGTTCAAGCTGGAAAGGATGCGGGGCTCGCGTAAACACAGCCGTTAGTTGTAATAAGCCGGGTTTAGATTCGATGTTGCTGTTTGCTGGTGCGTTGGGTGCATACTGCACAAAGCAGCATACTCTTGGGTCTATGCTGAAATGCAAGAGAGAGAGAGAGAGTGAGAGCAAGACACGTTGTGTTCTTGCCACCCACCTAGACTGCGGGGCCCAGTGGGCCGATGAAGGTTCATCTGGACTATCTGGTGCCTGGTTTGTACATAAGCCTGCGTGGTACAACAGCCTGTTCACACCCGCGGTGCCTCGCCGCTGGGCAGGCCCAGGCCGAGGCGGGTCGCACAGCGTTAAAGTCCCAAAAGCCATTTGCGAGGACATGACGAAAGGACGTGCAAAAACTGGAGCTTGTTCTTGCAGCAAGAAGGGGTCTCAGAGGAGAAAGTCATATATGTTTCAAGGTGTTAGTCCCGACCTCAAGTTGCTGTAGAACTCCTCCATGGCGAGACTCATGGACCTGACCAGGTTTGAGGGTTTTGGGATGGGCAAAAGATGCCGTAACCGAAGCGGCCCAATGGCCCAAAGCAATGAACGGACCCCGAGCTCCTGAACTCCTCAAGCCATGTTCAACCACTCTCTCCGCTGGTCTGATGACACAGTACGAAAGAACGTTGGCCCTTGTTTCTACATCCACTATCCATCATAAAAAAGAACGGGAGATGGTGGGCAATTGCTCTGAAGAACTCATGGCCGCCCATGCCGTGCTCAGGCTTTCTCGTTCAAGTCGAGGAGATGCCCCAGCACATTCCCGTGGGCACAAACGTCTTCCGGCAGCTTCAATGCACAACCGCCCTCCAAAATGAGGTTGCTCAGTCCGCGTGGAGCTTCTTCGCTTGCGTTCGCTTGCCTGTGCCGTTTGGTGAAGTTTGGCTCTTACATAGGGAAGAAGCGCCTTTCTCGTGGTGCTGTCGCTCAACCTCTGGGCTGGGTGAGTCTGGCAGTTGAGCTTGGGAGGATGCACCAAGTACGGAAGCCATTTTTCTGGATTGGCAGATCCTGGCTGCGGTGAGAGTCAGCAGTACATTCCCGACAAGCCCCCTTGGTGTCGCCTGGGAAAGTCTTCTAGCGCCGTCGCTCGAGCATCAGGAAACCCTGTACACCTATCAGCACCATGAGCCCTGTTCTGCTGCCGGACTGAGAGCGTTGCCTAGCACCATGAGCCCTGAAACCTTCATCTTCGATAGATTAGAAGAATTTACCTTGGCACATGAAGCTGTTTCTCTTCCCTGGTTGGACACGAGAAGTTGGCCCCCGACCTTGCCAGGCTTGCGACATAGGAGGTCTCCCGGCTCAGCGCATCGCCCAGCTTTTCGAAGTCCTCGTGATTTTGCTGCACTTCCAGGGTTCAAAGACTGTTCAAAGCCTCCTTTATAGTCAGGGAATAAGGGAACTCGAAATCTCCGCAACTCCTCCATCCACTCTTTGAGAAAATCGTGGGGAATCACGTCAATCCTCAGCACTTTGACTCAGGCCCTACAGGCCCTACATGCAGAAGCCATAGGTGCCCCCTCCGTGCACTCCGTTCCCCTGCCCCTCGTCCCAGTTTCTTGTTGAAAGCGATGATGAAGGGCAGCTTCGTCTTGTAGAGGATAGAGCAGGCATACAGCATGTTGGACATGAACGTCACAGGCTTCACGCACCTGGCAGTGTCCACGACGTAGCAGACAAGCGTTGGGTAGGACACGGCCAGGGCGTCACACACGATCTGCCCGGAGGCAGACCAGTTGAAGACCTCGATTTGCCCCGGTGTGTCGATCAGAACGTAGTCCAAGGATTCCGCGCGTCGGCTTAAAATCGCCAGGACCTGGTCGAACTTTGTAGCGAAAAGATTCAAGGAAGTCATGATACCACCGTTTGGACCAAGCCCGAAGTGTTTCATGACCTCCTTGTAGTTCACCGTATCCCTGATGTCTATGTTGACCGGGTAGGCCAGATTCCGTACGGCAGGGTCCAAGTTCACTGTGTAGACTCTTTTCTGCTTCGACTGAAGCCGAACAACCATGCGGTGCATGAAGGTAGACTTCCCGCTCCCTGCCATCCCAATCATCAGAACAACCACCGGTGACTTGGGGATCGACTGCAACGGATCGGGCGCTGGCTCTACTTCCATGGCTGGAAGTAGACAAACTAAATGCGATGACCAAATTTAGTTACGAACCCCTCACTATAGAAGTAGGTTTCTTGACTGCAGCCCTCAAGAGAGCAGGCTTAACTGTGGCAGCAGGCTGTCACAAGCACAAGGCTTAGTGGCTTAGTCGGTGCTTAACTTTTTGCGCAACGCTGGTATGCTTGTGCGAACGCTGAATCCTTATGGCACCCGTCTAGCCACGCAACTCAAAATTGCATGCATTGTTTGTTGCATGTCAAGGGTTTAGGCATTTGGTTATATGCATCTCTACACACGCATTGAGCCAAGAATGGCGGCATCGCTTGTCTGAACTCAGTTAACAGATATATAACCAGCCCGCGATGGTGCCTCAATCGCTTCAGCTGAACGTTGACGGAGCATTTGTCTGCTGCGCGAGCAGTCCCAGCCTGTCTGAACATCCTGAAATGAGTCTCGCAGCACTGGTCATCTCTGTCAGAACAGTGCCAGACGAATCAACTGTGCTAGCGACAGTGGCATGGCAACTAAGGCAGTTCCGCCAGGGTCCACTCTTCCTACCAGGGACGCCCCCCGCACGCAGCACTGTGCAGATCGACTGCACGGCTCCGTACTGCCTGCAGAGCACTTGAATCGATGGATCGACCACCGATTCACATCTGGTTGGGTTTGGACGGTTTGGCTTGGAGTCGGCCTCGGCAGAACCTCCCAACATCATGTCAAAGATCATCCCAGGTGCCCCGTATGAACCAGACAGAGTGTCCCAGACAAACGTATAGGAAGATGTAGGAAGTATCAAAAGAAGATTGCTCAATAGGGGGGTTGAAGATCAGCTCTGCCTTTTGCTCCTGTACATGCCGATCTCCAGAGATGCCTCACTCAAGCCCTTCAAGAAGAGATGGACCCCTCCACACAGAGTGGTTGATACCACAGCTCAGAGCCTAGGCCTCAGAAGGCCTCAGAGGCTCAGAGAGCTGAGAGCGGCTTTGGTTGTGGCAGAATTCAGCGCCAGCAGCCGCTACTGCGGAATCTTCTTTTGATTGCGCAAAGAAAGGTGTCCCTGCGACTGACTCCTCTTTGGGGACAGAAGGCATGCGTGTTCCTAGAATTACAGAATTAGACCCAGTAGATCCCCAGGCTCCTCTGAAAACAGCCTGCTGCCTTAAACGCGACAAGCCCCACCGATCCCCGTACGTCATGTTGTGCTCGACCCCCCAAACCCGTTCCAGTCACATTCTTACGGGCTCTTGAGAAACCTTTTGCATGTACTCTACGTGCTTTTTCGAAGTCAGCCCGAGGGGTCAATGCAGCTTGCAAACGCACCTCCGCACATCTACACATCCGCGACCCACGGCACTCTGTAAACGCTTCGAATCCCACCAACCACATTTGTCCTCAGAACATTCGATGACTCTCGTGGGTTTGTCGAGATGAATGAAAGTGCACTTCCGCGATTTGCGAGGAGAGGCCGCTTGCATGCTGGACGAATCCCGGTCTTGAGAAACTGTCTGTTGTCCGAACTCTCAACGCGATGCGCGACATGATCCAACATGCAAGAAGCCCACAGCTCATTGAGCCGTTTCACAAATCGACACTTGGAACTATTCGGTGCTGAGCTGCGAGAAATCAGCGACCAGCCTTACGTCTGACACGCTACACTACGGGGCAACCCAGGCACCAGGAACCAAAAGTTGAAAATCGACCCGCGGCAAGCAACACCTCACACACCCTACACATGGAGCTCGGCATAACTGAACAAAATGTACCGCGAGCCTCAGGGGAACCTTCTTTAAAGTCGACCACCACCATGGCGCATCAGGCTTCAAATGGAGCCACGTGCGCACGTGCTGCGAAAGCGAGGAGGTAGGCAATGCCACATTGCTTGACTACTATGAGCTGCCAAGCTCAAAAAACTCTATGAACCAGTGCCTCCGCAGCCACCGAAACAGGTTACAGGCCGATCATAGGAGGAAACATGTGAGCATGTGACACAGCAAATCATCAGGTCGCATATGCATTGAGATGTACGTGAGGCTTTGCCTGAACAAGCATGGCAGGAATGGAACTCTGCTTCTGGACCTGATGGCAGGCCTTGCGCCTGACTTCAACAGGGAGACAGGTTGTGTGAAGCATTGTGGGAACACCATGGAACAGCTTACTCAGAGGCCACACAGGGCGAGTCTCCCAGAGGCTCTTCATGCCAATTTCAACACCAGCTAAAGATTTCCAAGTCATCGGACGCAGTTCCACCCAAAGCAAGGTTGGAAGAGAGGCCTTGATTCAAAAAGAAGTGTGAAAATGTGTGAGAAAGCTGGATGCTGTTAATGCTGTTCTGTTTTACACAATTTCACAATTTCCTTTGGCCTGGCCCCCTTTCTTCCTCACGTCGGGTCGACCGCTCCCTGCGCATGTGCACTTTGGACTGGCCTTCTTGACCATATTGCATCAGAGTTCCAGTGGAGCAGCGCTGCAGAAGGCGACAGGTGCAGCCATAAGAGGATGTCCAGAAATCACAGAGGATGGTTCCGGAATATTCCGGAGATCAGGTACGCGGCAAGTCTTTGGGAGGTCTTTCGGCCCTTCGGTCTGTTGGTGAACTTGTCGTACTCTTGGCCGAGGATTGTTAGTATGTTAGAACCCTAAGATTCTCCTTGCAGTCTTGAACACGACTCTTGAGTGCTTCTGGGTAGTGGGCGGTTATATGAACCTACAAGCAAAGGGTTTTGAGAATTTTCGAGCTGCAGCGCTGCGAACGGCCGGAGCAGCTGACACGCCCTCGGAGGTCCCCCAGCGGAAGCCGCCGCCAGAAAGCCCCCCACTGTCAGCCTCAGGGGCCTCCGCAGAGCGTCTCAGAACTCGGGGACGAGGAGGTCAAGCAGCGCCTATTCTAAAGCGCCACCAACATGATTCAGTCTGATTCAGGGCAAACAGATGCACGTTGGCGCCCGGCTGGATGACACGTGATTTGCATACGTGCGACTTGACAGGCTCAGATGAGGTCAGCACATGATCTTGGCAAGACCGCTCGCGCCGAGGGTACAGTGTCGTCCTTGACACAGGACCGAAGCGGTATGAAGTTCGGATGACGAGGGTCAAACCGCGAGTCAGCTGACAGTTCAGCAGCTGGAAGCCCCGGAATTCCTTAACAAAAGCTAGGGAGGCGGCTGCCTCCGCATAGGCGCGTAATAGAAAAATTCCGCGGCCAACTCGGCGATGACCTGACATGATGACACTCTGGTCGGCCTCTCCCCATGGCAGAATCCGCACTCTACCTGGCACTGCGAATTCTGCAGCCTCGTCCATTCTCATGCCAACTTTGTAGAACTCAGAATCCAACCTGAGCCACGTTCCGTCTTCAAGGAGACTGCCCGGCTACATGTCTCTGCACCAAAAAGCTGCTTTAGCACGGCTAGGGCATCCGTTCCCGGTACGCAGCTCTCTGCACACTACGGAACGTTTACGGAAACGACCCAAGCGGCCCAAGCCCCTTCCTTGTTGTAAGGCCCGTGCGCGCGTGGACGATCTTTCTCCAAGTCATCCACTCGCCTTAGACGGGCAGAAATCTGCTCCAAGTGTGGTACGGGAGCAAACAAATCAAGTCTTGGGCAGCGGCGTTAAGTACGAATGCACTGCAATGAGGTAGGGGCAGTCGTCCAACTCTACCTCCATGATCAGCACATTGGGGCGGGGTGGGCAGCAGGTGAAGAATGCAGGGCTACAGGACCTCGAGTGCCGGATTTATGAAATGTGCATGCAATGACGCACAGCCTGTTTCAGGTAAACCAGACCTCCGCGTCATTGGTGGTGACACATGGTTTGCATTGAGCTGCAACGCATGGTGGCTGGAGGCAAGAACTGAGCACCACACATTCAGTGACGTTGCCAAACCTTCTTGCCAATGCCAGCGTTGCTCTACCACTCCCACACCCTTGTTCAGCCCTGTGGCCACAAACTTTCTCGCCTGCCGTGGAAGGGCTGCACAAAGGCCAGCTCTCCTGCAGGGAGCCTCAGGGTCCAACCCGACACTCTGAAGGTCCGAGCAAAAGAGCAGCGCCTATCGCACGAGGTCGGGGTATGTCGGGGTGTCAATGAGTCAACCAGGGTGGTGTGTCAAGCGGCGTTATGTCGCTCGCTCCCTCCAGCATCGCCACGCCACCTCCTGCACGAAGGGTTTCGACTCATCGTCGCAGCTCAGCAGGGGAAGCACACGAACCACACACTGCTGCAAGTCTCTGAGAAAGCTGTGCGCTTGTATTCTCAAACCTGTACCACACAAAGATAGAGAAAGAATCGACGGCTTGACTCACCACACATCAGGGGTCCCTGTGCCACTAGGATGTTGCATCTGCCCTGCGACCCTACCACCCTGGAACCTCCTTGACAAGGATACGGCATGCACGAGCAAAATTCGCCTGTGGACGGATGTACATAAATGTGCCCCTGCAGAACCTGGCACGCCAGGGGCCAAGAGCAAGCTGAAGGGGAAAGCAGGCTGATGAGGCAGGCTGCTTCATGGCCAAGCTTTCTGCTACGACTCATTCTTCGCAGAAATCATCCTCGAGATCATTACTGTACGACTCTCTAAGCCCGGCGCGGAGTCACAAAAGTCCGCCCACGTTGACTGCACTCGTTCGTCCGAAGGTTGCAGCCTGTAAGAAAGGAGGAGTTCTTCCGCCTAATTGCACATATCGCGAAGAACCGGCTGAGCCCGTGAGAGTGCAGACGTAAGCTCCAGGCGCATGTCTCGCATGGCTGCCCATTTTGATTTGATGCGATGGCCTTGCAGCACTCAGCGCCCTCAGCTCATCCTTCTCTTTGATCAATTCGCTTCGATTATGGTGTTTGTTCTCGCTCCGTGCGCCGCAAAATATCGCAAAAATGTCATACCTTTAGCTAGGAGCGGTTGTATGCAACACAGTGTGGAAGACCTCGCGCAAGACCGAGCTAGGAGCACAAACGAAGCTCCACAGTTCTTGAGGTTTACAAAGGTGCACACGAATTGGATGTGCTGCCCCGACCCCCTGCCACCCCAACACATCGGAAACCTCTGCGCCAGCATAAAAAAAAATGGGGGACTAGAGAACACCGTCAACTCCCCAGGTAGATGCTATTATCATTCTGCTTGGATCCATTCGGCGGTTGGTCCTTGCATCTGGATTTGAGCCCTTATTTGAACAAGCCAGCCGGTACCAATCATCAGGCTTTTCCTGCCGGTTTGCAAACACCTCTCTTTGCATGAGGGGTGTCGCTCTTCAACTCTGAAAAATTCTTTTGTCACAATAAGACCCCTGAAATCAACAAGACAGGATTCCTCACACTTTGCAGACCTTTTCTGTCCGGAGCTCTTGATACTACAACACCGAGGAAAAAAGACCCCACCTTCGAAAGCATCTCTGGCACATCGACAGGTTCACGGATGCACGAGCTAGACGCTGACACACGACATTGATTCACTCTGACTCTGGCGTCTATCCCGTGAGCATGTGATCAGTTCCCAAAGAGGGCTTCAATCTCACCGATACATAAATTCCATTATACCAGTGGCTGGGGATCATGGGAATTCTCTCTTCACAAAGCCCCAGTAATCTCATACAAGTATGTTTACTATAAGGGCGCACGTATTCTTGCTCTATCTTCTTGTGCACTCTAGTCTGGGCCCTCTCTATTAATTATGAATAAAGACACTTATGTTTGCCCGGCTATTCAGGAACATGGAGCTGTTGGAGAGGGGGTCGTATGGGCTCCACTTTACACACCTATGTTGTCGCTTTCAAAATCCAGGGGCCGCAGGCTCCTTCTAACTCTCCGGACGAAGAGGGTCCAAATCACAACTCGGCTTTCGACTGTTCAGGGAGGTGGCCACAATGCGGCCACATCGTGTCCATCGGCCGCGATTCGCGGCAACATGAGACCAGGCTCGGCAGTCACTTCACAACTCTGTTGCTCGCCACCATCATCACTCCACCCCGCCAGCACAAGCACAAGAGCACCCTCAGCAGGCACCACATCCACTCTACCATCCACGATGCGCTGCAAGCCCGGAGGATGTGGAGGACGACGAGGACGACGAGAACGACAAGGACGACGACGACGACGACGCACTTACACGAGGCGAACACGATCACAACTGCAGCTGTTTGGAGCTGTGCCCTCAGATCCCGGCCCTGCCAATAGGTCCTCAAAACCTGACACGGGGCGGGGCCGTGCAAACCGATGCGAACCGCACAGGGAACTTGGATGAGGCCCAAAGCGCATGCAAATTAGTGCGGTGCGGAAGCCGCGTGCAGATTTGTCACTCGCCTAGCCTCTACGACTATACGACATGCTTCTGGCATCACAATGGCCTTGACTGCGCAAGACGACCGGAAAGCCACTGACCGTTGGGGCTGCAATAACCTGCGCTCTGAAGGCTTGTCATGCGCAATTGAGCCAGGCACTGGGAGACCCATTGGGGTCCCTGCCAAAGGAATCTCGAGGTTGCGCAGCACAGAACGGGCCACATGCTTCGCCGGGTCCTGGGTGACCCATCTCACAGGCTCAACTGCGGCATGTGGGCCACTTACCCTACGAAAGCACCGTGTGCCGCTTACTCGCATTTTGGAATATTTGGAGGCACATCCCGAGGTCATCTCTTAGGGTTCAGGGCTTAAACGATTTTGCGTAGCTTTCTACACTAAGTCGTCTGAGCCCCTGGTAGCACCCGAAATATGCACCACCCAACCCCGCCTCGACTCACCTCGCCGAGCCTCAACCTTGCCCAAAGCCTACCCACAAACACGTTTAACTAAATCATTTTGAAAAAGGCATCAGGACATTTAAAGATAAACTGTTAAGCGAGTAGAGGCTGATGGGAAAACAGGGAAGAAAAACACAAATTACATAAGAGAGTATTAACGTATACAAAACTGGATCAGCGCTCAGCAGTAGGAATGGCCCCAAAATAAGGAGCAATGAAAACGAATGAGTTCGAAGCAAAGCTAACCTTGAAATGCAATCCGTATCTAAACTAGAGTATCCCGAGATTTCTGTCAAAGATTGAGATGCAGAGGACGAAAGACAAACTAGAGGGTTAGTGTTTGGCTGCCTACCACTTCAGGCAATAAAGGAATTGAAGACCTTGTCAGGGCAGAAATAGTATTTGGAAGGTAAGAGGCATCAATCCAGATTTGCGACACGAGTTCTTAAACGCTTAAGAAATTTAAGCATGCTTTAGAAGAATACCTAGATACAAGAATGGTACCTATACGTAAATAATGTATGTATGTTTATCCGCCGACCCCTGCTTTAGCGGGGGAGGCGTCAGTGAAGACCCATTTGCCCTCATGCCCAAACCCCCCCGCCCTCACCCCCTCGACCTCACCCTTACCCTCTTAGGGGCTCCAGCGCATGCCCCCCCCACCTCCCCCCTAACCTTTCACTTGGAAATGAAGTGTTTTAGGATGCCCGGACCCGCCCCCCGCCCCCCCCTTCTCACCCCTTCCCCTCTGCCCCCACCCCCCCCCCCCCCCCCACCCCCCCCTTACCCCCTCACCTTACTTGGAAATGAAGTGTTGAGGGGCTGCAGTGCATGCCCGGCCCCCCCCCCGCCCCCCCCGCCCCCCCGCCCCCCCCCCGCCCCCCCCCCCCCCGCCCACCCCGCCCATGCCGCCCCGTTCCGCCTTCACCCCTTCACCTCTGCCCCCAACCGCGCTTACCCCCCACCTCACCCCGGTTCGGCTCTCCTGGTTAAGGGGGTTGAGGGTTTAGTAGTTTGGGGTTTAAGGGTTCAGGGTTTCGAGTTTAAGGTGTGAGGTTTAGGGTTTAAGGTTGCGCGCAAACTCCCTGCGCGTGACTACTCAATGTTTCGCCCCCCCTGAACTCTAGAACCTATGGATATATGTAAGCGCAATGTAGGGGGTGTTTGTGTAAACCCTAGGGCCTCCTGTCGGGGTCGGCGGCATTGGCGGTAGCCATTAAATATATATATATATATATATGTATATTATGTATTGTCTAGCTGATGCTCATGATGCTCCCCGCCTGCCTCGTCAAATGCATGCAATCACTCGGGCTGTTGGTTTTGCAACGCCTGGCGTCTAGGACGGCCCTGTGGCCGGAAATGTACCCAGCTGATGCTCATGATGCTCCCCTCCTGCCTCGTCAAATGCATGCAATCACTCGGGCTGTTGGTTTTGCAACGCCTGGCGTCTAGGACGGCCCTGTGGCCGGAAATGTACCCAGCTGATGCTCATGATGCTCCCCTCCTGCCTCGTCAAATGCATGCAATCACTCGGGCTGTTGGTTTTGCAACGCCTGGCGTCTAGGACGGCCCTGTGGCCGGAAATGTACCCAGCTGATGCTCATGATGCTCCCCTCCTGCCTCGTCAAATGCATGCAATCACTCGGGCTGTTGGTTTTGCAACGCCTGGCGTCTAGGACGGCCCTGTGGCCGGAAATGTACCCAGCTGATGCTCATGATGCTCCCCTCCTGCCTCGTCAAATGCATGCAATCACTCGGGCAGTTGGTTTTGCAACGCCTGGCGTCTAGGACGGCCCTGTGGCCGGAAATGTACCCAGCTGATGCTCATGATGCTCCCCTCCTGCCTCGTCAAATGCATGCAATCACTCGGGCTGTTGGTTTTGCAACGCCTGGCGTCTAGGACGGCCCTGTGGCCGGAAATGTACCCAGCTGATGCTCATGATGCTCCCCTCCTGCCTCGTCAAATGCATGCAATCACTCGGGCTGTTGGTTTTGCAACGCCTGGCGTCTAGGACGGCCCTGTGGCCGGAAATGTACCCAGCTGATGCTCATGATGCTCCCCTCCTGCCTCGTCAAATGCATGCAATCACTCGGGCTGTTGGTTTTGCAACGCCTGGCGTCTAGGACGGCCCTGTGGCCGGAAATGTACCCAGCTGATGCTCATGATGCTCCCCTCCTGCCTCGTCAAATGCATGCAATCACTCGGGCTGTTGGTTTTGCAACGCCTGGCGTCTAGGACGGCCCTGTGGCCGGAAATGTACCCAGCTGATGCTCATGATGCTCCCCTCCTGCCTCGTCAAATGCATGCAATCACTCGGGCTGTTGGTTTTGCAACGCCTGGCGTCTAGGACGGCCCTGTGGCCGGAAATGTACCCAGCTGATGCTCATGATGCTCCCCTCCTGCCTCGTCAAATGCATGCAATCACTCGGGCTGTTGGTTTTGCAACGCCTGGCGTCTAGGACGGCCCTGTGGCCGGAAATGTACCCAGCTGATGCTCATGATGCTCCCCTCCTGCCTCGTCAAATGCATGCAATCACTCGGGCTGTTGGTTTTGCAACGCCTGGCGTCTAGGACGGCCCTGTGGCCGGAAATGTACCCAGCTGATGCTCATGATGCTCCCCTCCTGCCTCGTCAAATGCATGCAATCACTCGGGCTGTTGGTTTTGCAACGCCTGGCGTCTAGGACGGCCCTGTGGCCGGAAATGTACCCAGCTGATGCTCATGATGCTCCCCTCCTGCCTCGTCAAATGCATGCAATCACTCGGGCTGTTGGTTTTGCAACGCCTGGCGTCTAGGACGGCCCTGTGGCCGGAAATGTACCCAGCTGATGCTCATGATGCTCCCCTCCTGCCTCGTCAAATGCATGCAATCACTCGGGCTGTTGGTTTTGCAACGCCTGGCGTCTAGGACGGCCCTGTGGCCGGAAATGTACCCAGCTGATGCTCATGATGCTCCCCTCCTGCCTCGTCAAATGCATGCAATCACTCGGGCTGTTGGTTTTGCAACGCCTGGCGTCTAGGACGGCCCTGTGGCCGGAAATGTACCCAGCTGATGCTCATTCTGCGGAGTTGTATATGGCATGGAACGGGTTGTAGAAGATTCTTATGCCTTGCTCTCATTAGGTTTCATAACTTACGCCCCGTTTATACACCGTAAGATACTACATAAATTATGAGACATCTTGGCTGGCTGGTTGAGGCTGTGGGGTGGAGTCTGGTGTATGGGGAAGTATGTCGGCTTTGATGATTGAGTTTACGGGGGCAAAATGCGTGTTGTATGCTACACTCGGGGTTAGGGGTGAGTTGGCGGGCTGGGCGGTGAATACTTCGGGGTGGAGTAGGGTTCTGGCTCCCTCCCGCGACACCGCTGGTCCTGCACCTCATCGCAGAGTAGCGAAGTGTCGCTCATTGGAGAGTTGTCTTCCGTCGATAGTGCATCGCAGTCCTGTCGTGAGCGCACGGCACCGGCACACGCCTAAGGCCCAGGGAGGGGGGGGGGGGGCGGGGCCAGCCTTCTCTTGTTCCGACGTGTCAGACACGGACTTGAAGTCCTTCACCAAAGACTGAAGCATGCGCTCACGGGCACAGCCTCCCTGTACAGTAGCTAGCGTGCATGCATGCCCTGCCGGCCCTGCCTCGGATTGCCAGCTCTTCACCGACTCAGTCCGTTCCAACTCACCTTGAGCAGCAGTGGCAAATATGAGCACTGGGGAAGCTGAGATTGACCTTCCTCCATCCTCGATCCTGCTCCACCCCCCCCCTTGCTTTCCTGCCAAGCATCGCTGGCGCAAGGCATCGATTGAAAGTGGCAAGGCGTGGCCCTGCACAACCGCGGGAGGCGGCTGCGTAGGAGCCGCCACCTGCATTCACTGGGGGCAGATCGCGAAAGTTTGGCCAACGTGCGCTATGCACAGAAGTACCATTCTGAACAGGCCCAGGGAGTTGCATTCATTTATGTCTCAACTAACACCACCATCCAAAAGCATGATGGTGGATGAGGGGCAACACTGAGGGGCAACAATGAGGGGCATCTTGGGAACCGGCCGTGGGCTCGTCATCCGAGAACTCTCCTGACATACTTCACGTACCCACCGAGACTTCTCCCAAAGGTTTTCAACGCATGAAACCGACTATTCAGCTACTCATGAGGAGAAGACCCGGAGGGACAAAAACCTAACTCCCACATTGAATTGTTCTGGCGAGCACTGAGGCACTGAGGGCGAGGCCCTCCAGGAGATCCAGGAATCGCCCACTTTCCTCAGACTTCTCGGCTTTCTCATCCGAGTCGGACGGGATGACCTCGAAAGGACGCACCAAGTGCCAGCGCGGGAGACAGAGAGAGAGAGAGAGAGAGAGAGCACTTGGGAGGAAGTCTGAGTCCAGGCACGGCTCCAAAGAGCGCCCCCAAGTGGTGAATCTTCTTGTCCTCGCCCTGAGGCACTCAGCCACCGCTACTCGGGCGCTTCTGCCACACATGTTTTGCTCATTTGGCTCCACCTTGTCGCCCTCACATCGGGAACTTCTTCGGCTTTGCATGGTGGACGCCGTGCTTCGACTCCACCTTTGAGAGCTCCGAGGGTTTTAAGCCAGTACGTCTTCACCACGCTAGTCGCAATGCTCTCGGGAAACCCCCTGAGCCGCTGGACACAGATCTCATGTCTGTGTCAGGAGCGACTGTCTTGCTGCCATCCTTAGGATGCCAAATAGGGGGCCAAGCCAAGCGGGGCTTCGAGAGAACGCGGATGCCACTCAGTGCATGGCCTTCTTTTGGAAAACCTTCGCGAGCTCGTCTTTCCACCTTCGAGATGCGAACCAAATTTGGGGACCCGGTGCCTTCAATCATCTCCCATCTACGAAAGCACTACCGGCTGAGGCCCTGGCATCTGCTCAGCGACTGAATGAAGATCCTGCTGAGAGGCACCTTTGCCATAAGATGAAGCTGCAAGAGAACCACCGTCCCAACTGAATCCTACCGGGAGCACCTCTGAAGCCTGCATGGCACATACCGATTCCCTATCGCCGCTCTCTGTGGCGCGGGCCAAGCATGTCTGCAAGAGTCGTCTCGCCAATCGACGGCGCTGTGGTGGTCCTGCTTGGAAGTCCGCGCTGTGACATGGCCACGAAATGAGTGATATGAATGAAGAATGGGTGAAGGTGCAGGTTATTGTCGCCATTCCAACCTTCCGCATGTTGCTTTGTTTTTCTCACACTTGGAAGGTTGTGGGGAATGGGTGGCCACATGCACAAGGAAGCAAGGACCCTGCGCGAAACGATTTAGGATTTCTTGCCTTCAGGCACACGGCACACTCTCGCTTTCTCCCTTTTGAGGGGCTTCAAGGGCGAGAGACACACGTTGTGAGGCTTGGTTGCTGGTCAACCGAGGTCTTCAAAACCCTTGTCTCTGTCGATTCAACTCACTGATTACACTCTTTCTAATTTAAACGCACCCCACCCCCCCCACTCTCTAAAGACACTCGCATGGGGCACTCGCATGGGGGGTCTAGTCTCTACCCAATTGCGCAAAATGCTCTTGACTGCGCCCTCTCTTTGCCATCCTCCATTCTTGGCAGATCTGGTCGTAGGGAACACCCTCAGAGGCTGCCTGAAAACAGGATACGGCCGACCCCGGCGGTGTGACGGTGCGAAGGTGGTTTCTCGGACCTGCAGGAGCCTCTCAACCGAGATGCGGTCGGAGACATCCTGTGCAGACATCCACGCAGTGTCAACACATGAGCTGCTACAAGAACGCTTGGGAGCCCTCAAAGCATTGAGTGCCCAGCGCGTTGAATGCCAGCATGGTAGTGCCTGAAACGGCACTGTCAAGCTCGTAAAAAGCCCAGCTTTTATCCGGCTAACTCAGTGTATCCCATTGGCCCAAATGGAAAGAAGTAATTACTAAGTACGTGCACCAAGGCTTTGGCCAGCCCATTGTCGGGTGCTGATTCTTGCACAAGGACATCTCGCAAACGAACAACCTCAGTACAGGTCAGGCCGGTGTGCTTTACGATGCGGCTTTTCTCCATATAATGGAACACCATCGTCGCCAAGTGACTCCCCATTTTTCCTGCAGGCTCTGAGGACAGTTTGTGCAAGCTTGAGCCACTTTCGAGCCTTGTGTTGATAAGCAGGACCGATTGCGAGAAGCCACCTTGGTTAACCTCGGCCAGAGAAATGTTTAGCAGGTTGCCAAAGTCCTTTGTGCCAACTCCCCGAGGAGGGGGCCGTCTGAACTGCCTGAGGAAGGACACAAGTTGTTTTTCAGAAACCGTTGTCTGGGGTTCAATGCATCTAGCCTCTTCCGCAGCTTTGTTCATGCGCCTGATGCCTGTATTTGCCTGTCAGCCCACGGCTCGGCTGAGTGCATGCAATCATTCAACCGTCTGCAGCAGCTGCCCAGCCTGTTCTTCGGTGAGACCCAGATCGGCTGCTACCTCGCGGAACCCCGTGAAGCATGGACGAGCCAGACCCAGTGCCCAGTGTTGGCATCGGCTAGTAGCACCTTGTTGAGCATGGCCATGCCAGGCTTGTGGTTCAGTAGGCCTGCACCTCACCGACATGGGAGCAGCCAGGCACAGCCAACATTCTCAACATTCCCAGCTTCGCTTGCAAGACAAGCCAGGCACCGCCAATCATCTCACCGCAGCGCATCCCGACCTAATGGCAATCAGCTCCCAAAACCCCACAACACTGATGAAAGCACACGTAAGCACGCGTAAGCACACTCGCTTGGGACCCCTGCGCATTCGGATGCATCGTAGCCGAACAGCTCCTGGCACCGCAATGATGGCTGTTCGCATGCTGCCTGGGGAAGGTCCAGGGTTGATCACATGCCGCGGCTGTCTCCTCGAAGCCTTTGCTGACCTGAGTGACAGCTGGGAAGGAAGCAGCGCATGCGAATCTTTCGCAGAATTGGGCATCCCGTTCGCACCATGCTACAAACGAGCGGCATGTCGGATTGGGAAGCCTTTAGCCTTGGAGTCACAAATCACGTAGCTGTCCACGTCCTGCAGCGGATGATTCGCACCACGTGCATACATGCGGCACATGCGCCGTCCGGCAAATGTCAGCGTGGTCCTTCATCGCTTACTCTCGCGCAATAACGTTGCTATTGCGCTGAGTACCTTCACACGTCGGCCAGCCTTTGCCTGACAACCGCATCAAGTGATTTCGAGTTACGAGTGGCACACGGGGCTCCACAAAGCATGCCAAAACATCTCAGGGCCCTGCGAAGCCAGCCGCTTCAACTGGCTAAACCCGCGGGCTCCGTTATCGAGCCAATCTTGGATATAGCTGCGAGGCACAGAGGCACTGACTTCTTTGTGCTGAAAATCTCTGGTTGTTTGCCGACCTACTCCAGGCAGAGATGCTTCCAACTCCCTTTTTAAAGCCTCACACGATCTGTGCGGGAAGGCTGGCAGAAATGCAGGTCAAGCACCTGGTTTCAGAGTCTCACGCTGCAACGGCCCAATCCTGTACGATGGCCACAACACGGCTCTCTCACTCACAAACCTTGGCAGAAACCACGGGACGTGGGTGAGAGATTTCTCGTTCAAGCCCCGTGTGGAAATAGCCCGGCTGAAAACAGCCAAGCTTGAGCTTATGTCTGTTTCACACACATCCTCCCCCCCCCCCCCCCCCAGGGCCCCCCCCCCCCACTTTTCCATATGTGAGGAGCTGGTGCACTCAAGAGGGTGCACTGAAGAGGACTTCTCTCAAAGGTTCCGGGAACCCGGCCATGGAGGAGACCAAGCGCCTCTCCAGAGAGGTCGTGTCTTCAAGAAGCCCTTCTCTCAGGACTCCAAGGCTTCTTTGAAAAGGTTTCTTCGATTTTTTGTTTGTTCTTCGGTCCATCCAGAGAAAAAGAGAGACTACACCCAGTGCGTCCGCTCATCCCCCATCGGCTTCGGTAGGCTACAGCCCCATGATGCCCCAGACACGTGAGGGTGTCATGATGAGCTTGGAACGGACCTCCTTGATGAGAGCTCTCGCACTGTCGTCGCTTCCAGCTGCCACAGCAGCAATTGCCTGGTCTGCCTCGACATCGCCGACAGTGTACCGCCAGGCCAAGGAAACACACACACACACACACACAGAAAAAAAAAAAAAAAGAAGCCGACCGCTCGCCTTTTTGCGAGCTTCTGCCTGCCGTTTAGACCTGCGTGCAGGATCAACCAACTCCTTCATTTCCGCAACGCAACCCAGCTGGGCTTCCAGCGGAGGGAGCGTGGCCGCTGCTGGCACTGCCGGCACTGCTGGCACTGCTGGCCTGAATCTAAATCAACTCTTCAAACTCTTCAAGCTCTTCAGACTGAGACCATTGGGCCGGCTGATCCAACAGGTGGGTACAACCGGCTATTGATGTCATGGGGGTTTCAAACTTTTGGGATGTTGAGTCTGCACCTCGTAGTGGAAGGAGGGTTCAAACAATGCCGTATACGTCCATGAGGATATTGCAGGTTCTGGCAAGCGGGAGCGCCACATCTGCCAACACCATCTGTATATTGCACAGTGGCGAGAGCAACTTGCAGCATGCTGGCTTTGCGCGCTGGCTAGCCTAGCATCTGCGAGATACGCCAAGCTGTCTGAGAAGATTTACCCGCTAGGCTCCAAACGCACACATGCATGCACACATGCGCTTGCGCAGACTGCCAAGACGGGGCACTCCAGATGCTCTTAGCACAACGCACGTTCGCCACACATCTCCCCTGGTTCATAGCCAATGTCCCAGCACAGAAGCCCAAAACACATCACCAACTCTCGGCCTCTGCCGCGCCAGAAAACGCTCCAGCGCCAGAAATGAACCGACAAGCCGCTCCATGAGAAAACTCTGGAAACAGACGAGCGTCGTCACCTGTCCTTTCCTGTGGTGCGCAGAGCTCAACACAGCATGGCCGGCTGGGCTCGCCCCGAAGTCCGGAGCAGTGCAACACTCTGCCGTAACCGCAGCGCCCTACCGGGACTCCGGCGGGGCTTGTTGCACAGGGACGACAGCCTTGGCCCATGGAGGGATGCTAGTGAGCTTAGTGGCTACTGTAACGAGCTCCTTCATGAAGAATCAGCAGAAGTTCACCCAGCAAATAGGCACGGTCCAACGCCACCTTTTTCTGTTCTGGCGACCGGGCACCTCAAACCGCATGTTTTGGCATAACACAGCTGCATTCCTGCTCAGGTAGCAGGTGAGCTGGTTGCAGCACCAGTGCAACTAAAGACGATATTTTTTCAAGCGATGTCCAACAGAGTCATCAGCATCGACCAGTGCCTTTGGCTCTGCTTTTGCCTCAGGCGAGCCTTCCTCACAGCTGTTCCTTAGATGGGGACGCACGTGGAAGCGACATGACTAGGTCGAAAATGGTAGTCGTTATATCAGAGTCGAGCTGCGCCATCCTTCCTCATCAGATTCTTCTGGCAGGCGGGGGCGCCATGCTCAAGACGAACACATCACTAACCCTGGTCTTCACGTCTGCATCTTGAGTACACATGCTGTCTACTGTGTTTACAGGCGCCTGCTTGCCCTCCGCCATTCTCTTCCGATAAGCCTCTTCTCGACTGTCGTACGCGGAGTCCGTCGGGAGCAGAAAGACGGTCCTTCCTGCCTCTCAGGGTTGGGATGCTGTGTTGTGTGCTATAACTATAAGCTGTGAATATCACTCTCACACTGTCTGTCGGAACTGTTGTTCATGCTCTCATGTTTGCATGCCTCCTTGTTGACAGTCGTGAACCTAAGCTGCACCGAGCATCGCTATGCTTCCCAAAATAAGTCCGATAATTACAGTTTGGGGGTACTATTGCAGAGTTTGAATGAATTCTGCAGCGAAAAAGAGAAAGACCTTCGCCCTTTTCCTTGAAATGATGAGAGCACTTAAATGAAGCTCTTCCTCTCTCTCTGTCTCTGTCACAGCACGGCGTGCAAAACACTGACAAGTGGCATCTTGCCCAGCTCGGCGACCACGGAGTCGCCTGAGTTAGAGGATTCTCCCCATAATCCTCTGAAGTTCCCCCATAAAGACTCAACAATACATGGCCCGGATTCTCTCCCAAAAGTGTGCTGAGTGCAAGAACGGCTCCCATGTCTAACAGCTTCAACACAGACCCATACGCTCCTCTAAACACTCCAACGCTCCATGGCAGAGCTGACCGTGAGCTGACCACGCACCCCTCGAAAAACGAAACAGCCGACAGCGAGCGAAAAGCCAAAAACAAAAACCGCAACACACCTGTCCGAAAGGAGAGAGTTCTCTCCTTCCGGAAGAAAAAAAACAGGAGGATTTTGGGTGAATGGGGGAGGGGGGGGGGAGAGCGGCTGAGCCGCTCAGGGCGATGGAATCCTCCACGCGCTGGTCCCTTGCAGCGGCCTGGAGCTTCCGGGCTGCCGCCTCGAGGCCTCCGTCGGAGAAAACCACACGTACTATACGAGAAAGAGAGACAAAAAGAGAGAAAAAGAAGGGCTTCTCTTTAAGCTTCTGTCAAGTTCTGCTATGACTCAAAGCTTCTTGCAAGATTGTCCTAGCTACTACTTCTTGTATAGGTCTGGGAAAACCAAGGTACGCTCGTAGCCAGGCTGAAAATCAATCTCCCCATCCTCTTCCTGACGGGCCATGTGCAAGATGGCAAGACATGAAAAGAAGCACCAGGAACAAAAGACTGATTCGCAAGGGTCTTGTTTGCTCCTTTTGAATGCTTGACAAGAGTATGGGTGCGAAATTGGCTTGTGCATTTGTTGTTCTGGTCGTTAGTCTTGCTAGTTCCCACAAAGACATCAAGGAGTGCAAGCCCGTGTGCCCAGACACTCTCGCCTAGTCGCCATACAAGTTCTCGGGCTTGGAAGAGTTTCGTGAGGTTTTGAAGACATGTCCATTGATGGTCGGCTATTCATTGAAACAAGCTTTGCATGGCTCATCACAGCAGGGGGGTTTGGGTGGGGGGGCGCATGGCTCATCACAGCAGGGGGGTTTGGGTGGGGGGGCGCGGGGGGGGGGGGGGGGGGGGGGGGGAGTGGCATTTGCAAACAGCGCCAAAGACCCAAAGACAACAAGAGACGATGTGAGATATGCAAAAGAGCAAAAAGTGGAAAAACGAGCAAAGGAAAAAGCCAGAAGCGATGAAGGCAAGAAGGGACAAGCAAAAACTAACAAAAACAAGAAGCAGCGAAAGGCAAAGCAAGAAGCCAGCGGCGATGAAAGACAGTTAGAGACAGGCTAAGCAAAAAACAAATTGCTAAGCAAGAAGCCAAAGAAATGAAAGACAATAGGAACTACGAAAACAAGAAGATAGAGTGAAAGGGATGAGAATGGCAAGACATGGTAGAGCGGAGTTAAGATATCATGCAGGAAGTACCTTTACAACAGTAAGACTCCATCCAATGCAAACTCCTTCAACGAGAAGAAAGCATGACATGCTAGCATCTTCGGCCAGGCATCTCCAGCCAAGACCAACTGGCGCAATGGCGCAAGCAAGTCGCCTGTGCTTCGGATCAGCAACTGTGCACCATGCAGTTTTCTGAGAACTTCCCTAGCGACCACCTTGCTCTCAGAAAGGCTTGATCTGGCTTCGGCCCAAGGTTCAGGTGCTATGAAGCAGCTTTGCCCGGGATCCCCACATTACGAGACGAAACGAGTGGGGTGAGAAAATCACTGCGTTAAACCCCCAGATTGTGTAGCCCATGTGCACATCGCAGCTTTGACATGAGAGTAGGAGTTCCTGCAATTGCTTTGGCGAACTCTGATTCCAAGCGTCACTCTTCGGCAGGGACGCATTCTTGCAGATAGAGCTAGGACAGCTATAGGAGTCTGAGCAGCTTGCAAAGTCTTTGGTCTTTGGGCTTCGTGGAAGCAGATCTAACCAAGCTGTGCCTGAATCGTAGATGCGACACATGCGAGCCGAGTCGCAACAATATTCAAGGCTGAAAAGATGTGCTGGTACCAGCAAGGGTATAAGGTATCAGACTTGGACATGCCTCTCTTTCGTAACAGGGTGGCAAATCGGCCCATGCAAGACAGGCCACCACACATTGCGTTGCCCAGCCTTTGTAAAATGCCCACAGACATGTGTTTTGCAACCGCGTTGGAAATTGTTTGCTTCAAGGAGAAAGAAGATGGTGTGCTGCAGCGGCAGACCGATGGAGCCATAGCCGGCTTTGCGTGTAGAGACGGTACAGGTGTGCCGCAACGTTTCAGTCTTCGGGGGTTGTGGAAAGTGTGGTGGGTGCACTAAGTTCATGCAGAGCAGCGGTCAATTGCGGTGTTGCTCCCTGCAGAGTTGTCCAACGCGTTGATGGCCTGCTGGAAGAGGCGCGTGCCTGCAGGACGCGTGAAGACAATTGGTTGGGGAACGGTTGGGAAACCTGTCTCATGACTTATGGCCAGGGAGAGACATCTCCTGCTTGCACTTGTACTGAAAATTCATGTAACTTGAAAGCACTGCACCCTGCACGAAGAACCCTCACATCAAAGCTCCAGCCTCCTCGCACCTGCGTCTGAACGTCGAAGTACAGAAAGTCCATGGCACCCTGGGGCATCACAGAGGTCGTCTTTGCATTGAGCAGCTAATTGAGCATGCCCCAAAGTAACGCATTTAGAACACAAATGATGCCTTTCGGAGTGTGTGTATACATGTATATGCCAGTTTCATTTCGAACATGCCAGGTGATTTTTGGCGGCTGCGTGCCTGAAGCTGCTCTGCATACCTGCACACTCATGCCGAGTTCGACCTCGACTTAAAATCTACAGTGGCACACGGAGGCTCAGAACGCACCGATGGCAGCGCTCCTGCCCACAGCTCGTGCCAAAGGCGGGGAAAGCTCGGCCCACGCCGGTGGAACCAACCCTTTCCGGGGTTCAGCTAAGCGTGCTGTGCAAATATTTTGTGCTCCCAGTATTCTAACACCCTATAGTGTCTTGCTGGCGCTGGTATCAACTCCAGGCTGAAGTGACCACTATTCTGTCATTGCGCCAATGTGCTGCCCATGGAAGAGTGGACATCTCTCAGGTGCCACACGCCTGCCCCTGCGCCAGCAGCTATACCACCCAGCCAAGCGCGCCTGAGACGAAAGTTCAACCCAGAAATGGTTAGAAACGATTGCTGGGCACATTTGGGATGTTCGTATTTTTTGCCTCAGCATTCTGAGGGCCTCCCAGGTTGGCCCGAGCTGAAGGCCTCCCTCCTTCCTCTGCTTCCTCGCCGAGGCAGCAGACACTTTGTGAGAGGACTTCTCAGGACATGTTTGCGATGCCTCGTGCGAACAATGAATTTTGCAAGTTGACACGATGCTTGCCGCTCGGTCTCCAGGCCCACAAAGTGTGATCAATAAGCACAATCCCAGCACAGCGCACCACGGACGGCGCGATCGGCCCAAGGAGTTCTTGTGAGTCATGGCGGGCTCAGGTAAACTAGATGTCTTCAGTGAGGTATATGCTCAGCACATCTCAGCACAACGCATGGTATCCAGCTTGCTGTTCATGAGTTCTTGTCCGCTATAGCACTATAGCATGCATAATTGGTTGGTTTAGCTGCCCAAGTTGGCTTGAGAAGCCAGCCTCGTCCGAGCACAAGCAACACCCCCTTGCACACCCAGAATCCCCCAAATCTCTGAAAGCGCCTACCCGGGCCTACCCCTTGTTGACACAAGTTCGAATGAATTCCAGTATGTGGACACGTAGTACCCCATTTGGGACTACCGCGGCTACAAGTTGACAGCGCAGCGCAATACAAAACGAGGTAGGCGTGTAACTGGCGTGTAACCACCAGCTTAGTTTCAGCAATTTGCCTCTCAGTTCTCAACTTTCACCTGAATGGGCCAAATCCATTTGCATCTGAGTCAGAGACAGGCCGACTCGGAGGAGCTTCTGGCTTGGGATCTGCCTTCCATGAAAGAAGGTTCATTTTGCCATACTTCTTGAAAAATACTGAAAGGATCACAGGGAAACTTGGTGATCCTGCCATGCATTGCACCAGTGCAGCATAAACGCATAAACACACATCCAGCTTCATCGAAGTTCTACCAGAACCGAGCTCAAGATCGAGTACTGTCACACACGCGGCAGGACTTGATAACGGCATCTTGTCATGCAGGCGCATGCACGCAAGCACCGTGTCTGTTCAAGAACCCGGCCGGGCGCAGATCTGCACTGGGCGGAGGATTCGGGGCGCGAGGAGGATCCGCGGCAGGAGTCCTTCCAGTCGCCAGGTTTACAACGGTAAACTAAGTAGATCCGTACGTTTTGTAATGATGGGCACCCCCTGGCGTGCATGCTTTTGAACCCAGCAGCAAAAAAAAACATCAGATCACATCAGCCAACTCCCCTGGCCTGGGTGGTGGGGGTGCAGGCGCTGCTGGGGCCGCGGGAGGCTGGACCGGTGGCTGGGGAGCAGCAGGCCTGACCGCCATTGAGCTCTTTGCTACTCTGCAGAATTTCACCCCTTACAGGCCTGCAGCCCTAGCTTTGCCACACGCCTATCTGAGCCCTCGAAGCCCCTCTACAGGGAACAGTCGACGTACTCGGCTTCAACAACCCCTGATCTCCTCAATCACACATTACTGCTGGCAGGCTTGGGGCAAGGCGGCAGCTGGTGGCGCAAACCTGAGTCACGCATCGCCGCATCACCCGCTTTGCAAAGCAGATGCCGATGCCGAGCTGACTGAGCCCGCAGCACTCTCTCAAGTGACCCGCGCGGCTCTTGGCGTAGGCTGCCCTGAACTCCAACTCCACAAGGGCGCGAACGGCAACACATGAGAGCCACCAACAGTTCGGGCCTCTCAGCCAAAGCGGGCCTCAGGAGCACACGCAACACCAAGAATCGCTGACAACCACCCCCCCCCCCCCCCCCCGCCCCAACTAGCACATTTTGCCGAGCGGCTCCATCTGACCGAATTGCGCCAGGGCGCCAAGGCAGAGGCCCGCCGTCTGCACAACGATCGCCGATAGTCACGCTGCCACGGCTTTCCCCGTCTTGCACCATGACCAAACTGGGACCCCTACAACTCCTATAACAGTGTCTACCCTCGAGGCTGAGGCCAGGAGATTCTGAGCGAGATCGGCAGTTGCCACTCCACCATCCGCCTCGGGCTCAGCTCCCAAAGTCTCGATTAACGCCAATGTCGCCAAAAGTTACATATGTCTGTCTTGCATAATCAATGCATGTTGAACTACACGAGTTCAGGTGCTCACTCTTTTGCCAATAGAACTGTAGCATTGCTGGCTTTCAACACGGGCATTGCATCATTGGCATGCCTGTCGGCTTTAACAAGCAGCAGATGAATCCCGGAGCTTGCGGTTAACGTTCACAGATCCGTACTCCAGACTCCAAACAGTGGTCCCCTGTGATCCCACATAGGCTTAGGTCCCTTCACTTTGCAGGTTCTTTGACAGGTTGCCCCCGTGCGTCCGTTCCAAGGATGTTGCATTTCACCTACTAAATTGCGTCGTACTCAGGTTCGAGAAGCGATGATTACTCTATACTTCAAGAGAACCCTCACTCGCATGACGGATTCGCATGCTTTCTGAAGCAATTGACGGCTTGATAGGGCGAAAGGTGGGGGGCTGCTTTGCAAGGCGGAATCGAAGGGCGTTCCCCAACCGCAACGCCTGTGGTTCCCCCACCCCCCACCCCTCCCCTCCACCGCCAACCTCTCCACAGGCAGTCAACGAGAAGCACATCCCCCCCCCCCCCCCCTTCCCCCTCCTACCAGCCCAACCCTGGATTTTGGGCGCCCTATGCCCCGCCCATGAACCCTGCATTAGCCTCGGGTACCCTTGCCGAGGTGGCCTCGCACCAGCGGTTAAGTCATCGTCGCTTTGGGACGTCTGGGCTCGCGAAAAGCATACCTATCATCGCTTTTGGAGGTCTGGGTTCGTGATATGCCATCCAGGAGTTGCTTCGAAAACACCAGCGTAGACCCCAAACAGTGAGAGACCATGTGACCACACACCAGAGCAGAAGCAGAAGGCTTACCGCCAGAACATTGCCTTCATGAATGCAACAGTTGTCCATCGTCCATTCGCCGAATGCTCTTTTTCTTCGCGAACTTTGCAGGATCATCGCGATTCAGGATCATGACACCATCATGAGGACAAGTGGCGGAGATGGCTTGCTCGTAGTTTTGCACCGCGAAATGCCGGAGTTGCTCCTCAGCTGACAGCCATTTCAATGCACCCGACACCACCTTCTCTCGTTGCCCTCAAAACCATCCGCTCTGAACCGCCGTGCTAGTTTTTAGTTGATCTATGATTAAATCATTTGATTAATATTCTTATACCACGATGTTAATTACAATAAAATAAGACATATCCGCCGAGGCCTCGGGCCGTAGGTGTATGGGGAGCACAAAGCAGGCACATCCCTCGCCCCTTATTGGTCTCTTTTTTGGGCAGAAATGGGTTCCCTTTAGCCCCTTTCACACCACCCCACCACTGTTTCATCCCAACCTGCCTCCGGTGCAGCTGCAGAACTTCAGATTCAGGGTGCCGTGGTTGGGACTCCACAAGCTCAAGGGGCTGCGCTGGGGTAGGCCGAGGTGGGTCGCGCAGCGTCAAACTTAAAACGTTGCGGTTTGCCGGTGACCCGAAGGCAGCTCTGGGTCCGAAGCTGCGCCACCCGTCAAGTCGAGGCTGGCTTTCGTCTGCTCGGCCTGCAGGGACTGCGCGGCTCGATGAAACTCGGTTTTTTTTTTGCTCCCGCACGGCTGGCCAACCCGTACTTCCAGACCAGCTCAAAAAATGACGTACAGATCACCGGTTCAATAACCCTCCCAACAGCCCTCAGACGACGCGGGGTGAGTGATGCTGATGTCTGCTGAAGTGCTTCAATGTGGTCTAAGTATGTCCGAATCGGGTTTCCTGGCTTCTGCGGCAGCTGCTCAACAGGGAGCTGCAACTTCTGAATGTCTTGTGATACGTCGCATCATGTCCGGTCTTGGGAACCCTGAGCCATTCAGGTTTCGGATGCTGGGTGAGTCAAGGTCTCAGGGGCGCTTATGGTGCATGCGCGGCCTTCTCGAAGGTTGTGAGGAGCAGCTTGTCTGCTTCAGCCTGAGCCCAAGGATGTTTCTTGGACATGGGGTGTTTTCGTACGCTTTCTGAGGCTGGCGCAGTTCTGCTTTGGCCACTCTGCTTGGCTGCCAGCAGCATCTCCAGCGCGTGTATGCGAACTCAGCTCAAAGGCATACGGGGCTGCGGGGCTGGGTTCCCGCATGCGTCGTGGCTCCACAATGCTCCATGTAAGCTCTGTCTTGCACGGTAGTGTGCCACCACAGGCTGCGCTGCCTGCAAAGCCATGGCAGCGGCAGGAGCTACAGGAAGGTATGGGAAGGTACGGTGCGTGGTGTACAGTGCTGCTGGTAGCGCCTCGAGAGATGCCGCCATGTCGAGGATGCAGCTTGCCTATCGATGCAATAGGGGATGTCTGACATCGTCATGGCTAATCACAAGACGCAGCCTCATCGGGAACGGCATCCTCAGCCGGAACGGCATCGCCCTGCGGCTTCGCCTGCGCCACACACCGCCGCGCGTTGCAGAGGCAGTGGATCTTGCGAGCTGAAAAGCCTCAGGCGGCTTTGCGGAGTCCAAGAGCTGGCTCACCAGCTCCTCCCGAGCATCTGGCTCCGGTTCCTGTGGGACAGGGGTGCGCTCGGCGTGCTCAGGGCACTTGTTAGAAGCAAAGTGCCGTCAAAATGCTTAACACCAAACCCCTCTCCGAGACTTACTGGAGGCCTCCGGCAGGGTCGGAGGAGTTGACTTGACGTCCTGTCTCGCTTGTTGAAATCTCTTTAAATTTCGAGAAGTCACAGCATGCCACAGGTCAGTGCAGAGAACAGAACTGCTCTGGTGCTTATGCTGTTGGCCCGTGCCCCGGTGCACTTTACATGCATGAAGTGATATGAAGTATGGATCACGTCCCCAGTGCCGAACTTGAAAAGGCGATCCCCATGACACTGGAAGCGAGAGCCCAACTCGCAGATGTCCGCTTAAAAGCAACAGTCACACAGTCACGCTCCAAACTTGGGCTTGGCACCCCCACGGCCGGAGGTTCATCGGGTGCGAGGTTCGCCACGCAGCTCTGCATGGATCGGAGCCTGCTTCATGGAACTCATCACTTGATATTCTCTCTCTCTCGTACACCTTTGATGTCAACTATCTCTTTCGAGCTTGTCCGACTGTTGTCCACGTCGTCTTGCTTTTTTCAAGCAGAGGGTCTCCAGCAAAGCTGGCGGGTATCGGCATGCAGTCGCGCTCAAGTGAGCTTCAAGCTGTTGACCTTGGCTTGCAGGATTGCGCAGGAGACCAAGCATACAAGGATTCGGCTGCTTCGTGACATTTATTGCAGCCCAAGAGGCTATGTAGTCTAAGTACTGCTTGCCCAACGGGCCGCTGTAGGACGGCTGAATGTGATCCGCCGGCGACAAGGCCAGGGCAAAGGTGACCACCCCGTTGCGCCTGGGAACAGCAAAGCGACAGAAGCATGCCTCTATAATATGTATATCAAAACAGATACCTCATGATGATTTTCCACCAGCAGCTTCGTAAGTATCGGGACAGTGTGTCTGCCTGCACAATCATTCGTGCATGAAATCTTCGTCCCGCGGGCATGGAGACGAAAGAACCCACGCACAACGGCAAGCTTTTCCTTGCATGGGGCACGTGCTACATGATAGGACTTGGCACCTTGCGCAACGACACGGTGCTGTTTTGCAGCTTATTCGGATGCATGGAACCCGAACGAAACTTTGCCTGGGTTGCAAGTATTCTGAGGTTGAGACATGCACGTTAAGCAAGCAGCATTTGTAAACGTTCATGCACACTTTTCGGTCCTCTCCGACAGTTTTCCCCCTTTTGGTGAGACTTTGGATGGGGCGAATCAATGGGCCGAGAGGCAGAATCGCCTTGCCCGTGGTGCCTTGCGGAGGCGCGTCCTGAAGGTTTGGTGCCTCGCAGAGGAACTGAGGAAGGACATCTGGAGCTATCTGGACAGCGGTGTATTAAGATGTATTAAGTTCAAGGTCCCTCTGGTCTACATGCAAGGCCCCTTTTTGGCAAAGGCATAGAGTTCGGCAGGTTTGGACTCAAGCAGCTTGTGCACAAGGCAGGCCGTGCTGAGGGCCAAAACTGGCCAATAGCCTAACTAAGAAGTCCCAAGGAATATTCCACGATGTCCAAGTGGCTTGGCGTCCCATGGCTTCTGATAGAGGCACTAGCGATTTGCCTCCCAGGCGCATCGGGACTTGAGTTGCTCTGACAACTGGTCAGATTAGCAACACAAGGTTCAAACGGAGCAGGGCAATCTGCAACATTCCACAGGCAGCTCTCTGACACGTGTTGCATGAGTCGCGCGTGAGGCGGCGCAAGTGCCGCAAACGTGTCGCAGGTTGCACAAGGTTCACAGCTGAGGCCTCCCAGACCTTCCACTTGCCTCGCAAAGTCAGTGCTCAGAGCAAACTATTAGAGGAACTTAGGGCGTCTGGGTGTCTCTGGGTGTGGGATCTCTTGCTTCTGAGGCACGCATTGGGGTCATTGGGGTCCGTCATGCCCATCCCTCCCTGGATCCGGCTCACAGCATGCCAGGTGAGGACCTCGGAATACGAAATGCGCATCCGATCAGACGATTCTGACACAACCTTGGGGAGAGCATGTGCAAAGTGGGCTAACGTGCAGCCAGAGGGCAGAGCTTCCGCCAGGGCCTTCGCTGATGTCGTAGTCGACAATGCTTGTGTTGATCTGCACGACGTCAGGCCCAGCGCGCAGACGTCTGAATCTATGTGCGTGGGATCCGTTCGGGGGCCTACATGCTCCAATTCGGCTGCTGACGTGCCTGCGGCATTTGCAGACCAGCCTGGGCCAGCTGCGCCTCGACAAGATGCGAGGCAAGACGAAAAGAGGCCCAGCGAGGCTGGGTTTGCCGCCTCTTGGCCAGCTCGCATCATCCAGTCGGCAATGTTCGCACCCGTGACACCACCCAAAGCCACTTCCTCAAGGCGCAAGCGCAGGGCCGCCACCACATGCCACCACATGCCACCACCCTCCTATATCCATCTGTGCCGAACTGACGCGCGGAATCCCGAACTTCAAAGGCCTTCCAGTCACTGCGCCGGTCGTCCCCCTCGCGCGGCATGAAGTTGGCGCTGCGCAGCCTTGAGCGCGTGATTCGAGAGCAAGGCTCGGCTTGAGCTAGCTGCTTGCTGCCAGAATAGCCCGCAACTAGAAGACAGCTATAGGGCCCGTTGTCGTGCAGTCTCGCATAAGTAGCTTTCTCTCTACAAGCCAGCACACTGGTGCGTTCATGCAGTAGGCCACAAAACTTCCATAAATCGTATTAAAAAGTGGCTCCGAAGCTATTTGCAAGGGGCAAGGCTGGGAGCGGCAGCCGGGCACAGCGCACGGCTGTGAGGTCCGGGTCCTGGCCCGCGCGCAGCGCCTCTAGGTCCACCGGCGTCATACCTCCGGCAGAGGTCCGTTTTGTAGACGCTTCTCCGGCTGAACATGGGCTTCGGCACTGGCACAGCGAGGATAACTTCCAGGTGATTTGTGAGAAGGATGTCTTTAAGTGCACAGCTGGTAGTCCTGCTAGTCGCTGGGTGCCGTGCTCACAATCAGCCGCCCTGCGTAGTCGTTGAACCTAGTCCACACTTCTAATGATTCTAATGACGCAGGGAGCCACCACGGCGACTACCACGAAGCCATTTAGCTTGTATCTTCAACATCGAGCATCACCAGTCACTATATCGCAACGTCTCCAAGCCAGTGCAGCCAAGCAGCTCGGTCTGCCACGCCACCGGAAGCTGGATGCCTCGAACAGAACACACAGCTCCTCTCCACCATCAAAAGCGAATGAGAAGGAATGGCAGCTTGCCAGCCAAGTTTCTGAAATCACGCTTGCGGCTCTGCACTAGCGCGAGGGGAGGATCGCCAGTTGGTGTGGCCGAGGTCCGCAGGTTGAACTTGTTACCCAGCGCCTCCTGACACAACGCTACAGTTGCTATGCAGTTGCTACAGGCTGGCTACCTCAAACCTTTGGTTTCCGACGTCCTCCGCCATGGCCGGCATGGCCGGCATAGCGCCAAGCGAGCCAAGCAAGATCGCGCGGCGTGGGCCTCAACAGGGCAGCATGGCATTGGCATGTCCCCACGAGTCCTCACGCCCGCACCTTTGGGGCCATTTGGAGGCGTCCAGCACAACCTGCACAATCACACAGGTATGTCATGCAAGGGGTTTCGAGATGGCTTCGGTTTCATGCTTCAGGATGGTTTCAGGCCTCGGCGGTCTCGCGGACCAAACGGCAAGAGCGAGGAGCACGACAGCAGCCCGCCGGGCCATGGCGGACACAATTTTTTGGTGTGAGTGTTGCGCGGGTACTGTGTGGTTCCCACGCCAAAGCCAAGTGCCGCTAGAGGCGTTCAACTTTAGACTATGGTCAGTCAGGCTAGGCACCTGGGGCATACCAGCATGTTCTTGTCGAAGCCGCCCAAGGATCAAAGATCGGCATTGAAGTGGTTGACACTGCCAAGACATGTGTGCAATTGGCCCAGCACTGGGCGAGCTCACTCCTCTTTACCCAGCACGACTCACACAAGCAAGGCGCTTGGACCACACAAGTCCCCGCAGTCTCCACAATGCAATCCCGTCGGATCGAAGATTGCCTGTCTCGGTGGTAAACATAGGGGTCTGAACATGTCGGAGCCAAAATCCACAACCAGGTTGTCTCACAGCTCTAAACATACTGATCTGCCCCGAGCCTCAGGCATGGGCTGCAGGTTGAGGTCAAAGAAGCGCAAGTCTATGACTCCATCCTCGCTGATCGAGGCCACGGGCAGGTTGGTGTAGAAATCGGAGTAGAAGTCAGAAATACGTTGGACGCGCTGCACCGCCCAAGGTACCTATCTTTGGCGATCAGGGGGCCGCAGGAAAAATTCCCCTCATATGCTCGGAAGAGGGAAGCTGCCCATGCTACCCTCCAAAACCAGGCTATGGCACTGTGTTGGACCAACGGTGACACAGCTGGCCATCCAAGTAGTGGACGCCCCGGTAGAGGGCGGCATCCGCCCAGCTGTGGTTGAACACAGGCTGGTGCAGCGGCAGTTTCCTCAGCTTGCGCTACAGTACGAGTTTTTAAACTTTTGCTGCTTGAGGCATTTGGCCGGGCAAACAGGAAATGCAACCATCGCCGCACACCTGCTCAAGACTGTTCAGGCCTTGCGCTGGCTGCGCAAATAGCTGCATGAGGAACATGGTTGCACTGAAAGCTTCCGGCATTGTACAGCATGTGCCCCGCCGGGGCCTGGCGGCAGCCGTTCATTGACGGTGGTTTGGTACATCGCCTGCTCCCGGCCATGTGCGTTGATGCCCACAGAGGTGGGGCTTGGCCCAAAGTGGCCGCAGGTACCGCCGCGGCATGTCATAAGCCATTCGGTCCTCATCACTTCCAGGTCGGCATTGAGGTAATGGGTTCCACTGAAGTTGTTACCTGCGTCGGGTGATACTTGCTGCACCCACTCTGCCCCCCTTGTAAGTTTGTGAAGATGCGACGTCAGCAAACGAAACAGGCCTGCAAAGATGTCATGAGAGTCCGGGCTAACACGCATGGTGCACTTGTAGCTCATTTGTCGCGGAAAGGCAGGCGCTGGCTCGGCCACCGCAGGCATCAGGAGAGCTGCAGCCAGCAGAAGTTTCATGGCAAGTTATCCACAGTCTACGGCGAATGTGTCCACTAGGGGACTAGGGGACTAGGGGGCCCGCGCCCCCGGGCTGCTTCTGAAAGTCAGAGGCGGGCACCCACACTGGGAGAGCGCAGCGCTGCAAAACAACGATACACGACAGATGCTGCATGGAGACTTTTTACAAGGCAAGCAGGTCCTCGGCAAAAGCAAAGAAGGAACATTGTTTGTCTCTTCTGCCTTCTGTGCAGTTTTTTCGAGACGCTAGGGTCCATTGCGGCACCGCGTTCTGTCCCAACGACGGAACCGGTGAATTTCAAGACGCAGGATCTCCGAACCATCAAACAGATATACAAAATATTACAAAATATACATGCCCCAAAAACACATATAGATGCGCATACTACATACATATACATACATACATA